TTGATTTTTCTATGTTGATTATGTATCTTGCAACTTCACTGAATTTTTATATTGGTTCCAAGAATTTTTTGGTGGAGTTGAGGGTGAAGAGAGATTGGTTAATGGAAACAAGAAGGAGTCAGTTCTAATGTTCGATAGCAGAGCCGGGTGACCATACCCTGACTTGACCATTACACATTCTATGCAGATATCAAAGTTTTACGTGTACCCATAAACATGTATAAGTAAAACACATCAAAATAAAATGAAATGAAAATTACAAAGCTCTAACACTAACAACAGTCAGGAGAATTTGCTTTTGTACTCAAATAATAAGACGGATTTAGCTCTTCCCCTTGCTGGTTTCTCACCCCTTTGGTGCTGGCATCTCTCTACTTAATCTTTAAACTGGCTGCCAGGCAGAGCTCCAAGACTGCCGTGTCATCACATCCTTGTCATTTTAGGATTAGGATGGGTTTTGATCCTCCTGCCTCTGCCCCCAGCATGCCTGTTTATGCCTAAGGCATTGGCAGGAAAAATGTCCAATTACAACTTTCTCTCTTTCTCCTTGCGGGCCCTGAGAGATAGGCATCCTTGTGTGTCTAATAAAAAGTATCTACCAAGTGGCATATGTGGAAAAATGCATCTTGGGCTCTGTTTTGTTCCTTGCAATAAGTTACATGAGTCATCCTGTGGGAGTGGAGGGTTCTGCGCTTTGCTATACTGTGATTACTTAACAAGACCACAGATGAAGCAAGGAATAATATCTCACTTTCTAGTTTATCTGCCTTACATAACTCTCAGTGGTGTGCCTCTAAAAAAATAAGGATGTTTTGAAATATAAAAATGTATTTATCTAGAAAAAATTTTTAAATATAATAAATGATTATTTCCTCCAAGGATCATTGAGGCCTGGCCTCAGAGGAGCCCCTGGGTGGCCAGGTTTGAAAGGAAGTAAAGGGGACCGCGGTCCCCCAGGGAAGAACGCAGTCGGGCCTCCCGGGGCTCCGGGTTGTCCTGGTTCACCCGGCTCCCCAGGACCTCCAGGACGTCCAGGACCACCAGGTAAAGATGCATCGGGGCCCCTTTTGTGCGCAGTGTCTGGTGACAGATGTATGCAAATCACGGGTGATAAACTTCTCTCACAGCTTGGCCACAAGTCTGTGTGGTTTTTATGAATTATCTTTCCAGTGGTATTTCATGTCACTATCACTCTCTTTGAAGGAAACTGTAGTGGAATGATGACTTCGCAAATGCTGCAGAGTCTTATCTGAGTTCCCCAGAGTGGGAGGAAGGGCCAGAGGGCAGTGATGCAGGGAAGTGGGGTGGCTGTCAAGCTGGCTTTGGCCAACTACAAGGGTTTGTTCGGCCCTTGGAGATTATCTTTCACGTAGCCTGTGTCAGCATGATCTGTCCCTACGGGGGGAAAAGGCAAAAGTTTATCCACCAGCTCCTATTTCTCACCCCACAAGGCAGGACTAACTCCTCCTCTCCCCTGCACACACACACAAACAACCCAAACTGTGTTTGCATCAGCAAGGAAGTCCCAGGGCAGGAGGTCACAGGTGTGCCTGTGAGGGTGAGAGGGGCGCAGACCACAGAGCTGTGGCCCACAGGACCTGAGCTGAGGCTCAGAGGTTCTGACACAGGCACCTGTTCCCTTCCATCTCCCTGCAGAGCAATGCAGTGTTCTGTGCTGGCTCACAGGTACGGTAGGTCCTCATCAGCGTATAGATCATGCTGTCTCTTACAGCACCTCTTCTGGAAGGTTCCAGGGGAGGTCCTGTATTTTCTACTCTATCCTCCTAAAAGCCTTAAGAAAGAACCTTCTATGTGTTTGGCAGTTGTTTTTCTTAAGGAAAAAATGTTTATTATTTAATAAATGTGGTTCAAAACTTAGAAAATCAAAAGGAATAATGTGGGAACCCCTTAGTACTAATAAGATAATTTAGTTAAGCATTGGATTGTATGAACAGTATTAAGAAAAGTCAATAAAAGCTTTCCTCTAAGCCAAAAGCAATTTAAGAAATAATTCCATTAATAAAAGGATATCACATCTAAGATCAAATCTTTCAAGTTATAGTGTGGACTTTAGGAAACAAGGTAAAACCAAACCAAATTATAACTCTTTACCATATGCCAGGGGGTTAACAATTTTTAATTTTCCAAGTCTCTTTTAGGATGTAGGCTCAGTGTTCCCAGGGTTTTGATTTTTTTTATATATATATGAGAAGGCCAATATACAGAGCTCAGGGAGTAAATGAAGGCTGAAGCCAGGATCTGGACCCTGGGTACCTGGCCTGGAGTGGCTTTGTCCCCAAAGGTGCCTTGCTCCCTCAGTGCCAGCTTCCTGCTGTCCAGAGGCCTGTTTTTCTTCCTTTCCTTTCTCTGAGCAACACCTGTCTGGTTGTAGGTTCAAGTCCAAGTCCAGCAGAAAGCTTTCACTAAACCTATGTCCTATAATACCCAAGCTTATCCTGACTGTGGAATTTTAACATTGCCTTGTCATTGTCAGTTTTCCTATAAGAACGATAGCTCTTCGAGGTTAGGGACTGTGTCTTTTTTACTGTTTTAAGCCCAGTATGTAGCATGGGGGCTGGAATATACTCAAATACTTGTTGAATTAAGCATGAAATGAGCATAAAAGCATACAAGTATACACAAATGTGTAAGTATTCATATAATTCTATATTAATTAGTAAACTGCCATCAGATTGCTATTTAGAGATGGCTATCCCGGTATTTTAAAGACACAGAAAACTAGGACACAGAATGGTCACTCTTTTCATAGTCAAGCAGACACAATGTGACATTTACCACATCCCAATTAAATGAAATATTTGCCCTATTACCTTGTTGCTCTGAAGTTTGGGGCAGTGGTGCTGTTTGAGCATTGCCTTCAACTTGCATTTGAAATGGCCAGACCAAAAATTAGATCACAGAAGATAGTTTACCAAGGCAAGAGAATTCGCTACTCATTGTTACAATTCAGCAGCAGAGAACGTGGAATGTATCAAAGAGCTTTCTTAGGGAGCAGCACAACCCAGGCAGCCAAGCATTGGAGCGTGCTATAATCCTGGCTCTCTGGGAGTCCAATGGGGATGGATCACTTGAAATTAAGAGTTAAGAACAGCCTGAGCAAGAACAAGCCCTGCTACCCATCTCTATAAAAAAAAAATCATTGTAACACGTACCTGTAGTCCCAGCTATTCTGGAGACTGAGGCAGGAGGATTGTTTGAGCTCAGGAGTTTGATGTTGCTGTGAGCTATGATAAAGCCACTGCAGACTCTATGTGGTACAATAGAGTGACACTCTGCCTCAAAAGAAAAAAAAATGACAAATTCAACAGACGTAGACAGGCAATGAGGAGAAAACAAATGCTGGCTTAAGCCAGAATTCATTTTTTACTCAATCTGCCTGGAGCCTCTACAGTATTTCCGGAAAACACAATGTATCCAAAATACACAGAAGAATAAAATTTGATCCTTTGCCTCAAGATACTAAAGGGATTGTCTTGGAATAATTGGAAACTACTGAATATGGTAACTAGTGTGGCAAAAATACCATATAATGAAATTTCAGAGATCAACTACGTCAGTATCAGAAAATCTACATAATATGAAAGGAGGAGCCACTCAACACCCATCAGCCTTCTCAGTTGCCGAGGAACTTCTGCAGATAGGAGAGACTCATATAAAGCAATCCATATGTTAAAACAGCTGTTAAATTGAACAAACCTCTAAATAAAAAATTGTCTGTGGTGTTGTGTTTTTTACAGGTGACATTGTTTTTCTGAAGGGTCCCCCTGGAGATCGTGGACTGCCAGGCTCTCTAGGGCCTCCTGGGATCCCAGGAGTGGATGGGCCCAAAGGTTGGTTCAATCCATAGTGTTGTTCTGTTAGCACAACCCACTCTCATCAGCATCCCTATCACTTTACTCCCCCCTGAGACAACAATGATCCCAAACAATAGCCAGTCAGGGATGGCTTCTTTTCTAAATAAAGTATCTGAAAGTATTTATTTATCAGCAAATCAGTAATTTATTCAGCACCCATTCAATAAATTGCTGTATATTCCTTGAATATGAGTTGTAACCTGTGTGCAGGAAGAGAAACATTGAAATAGATGGTTTATGTTAGACGCTTGGAATTTTCTCTCTCCAAAGCATTCTACAGCTCAGACTAATAAAGTAGGTGGAAATATAATAGATGAATTTTTTTATTAATATGAACGATGCCCTTGATGATTTTCACATTAAAGATGTTTAAATGTAGCGAATGATTGTGTGGTTGGAAAGTGCCTGTCCTTTCTGAGGACTCGGTGTGGGCTGGTTAGTAATGCAGGCCCTCTCTTACTGCAGGAGAGCCGGGCCTCCCGTGCACGCAGTGTCCTTGTATCCCAGGCCCTCCTGGCCTTCCAGGACTGCCGGGATTAGATGGTGTAAAAGGAATCCCAGGTAGGAACCATTTGCACGTGAGTGCTTTTTTTGTTTTTGTTTTTGTTTTGTTTTGCAAGCACAAAAATAAAGTCAGTATAGTGGGTGATTTTAAAAGGAGGCATTAGAATGTGAATGTCATGAGGTGGTTTACCATGAACTTGGAGGGAGAGTTTCAAGAACATACACACTATTTGTTAACATAGTCATCCCAAATCCAATAAAAGTTGGATTCTTCTTCTCATTATTATTATTTGTCCCTATTCCATTTTAGTTGCAGAACTCTAGCCTTTGCCAGGAACTGTTGAAACAGATTCCTGAAGGGAATAGCAGGTAACTGAGAGCAGGGGAGCAGCCATACCAAGCACACAACCGCTGTTTAATTCCATAAAGAAATGAGCTCTCTTCCTTTTTTTCTCAAAAGACATGACCTGTCTTCATCCATTTTTTTCATATTCCCACTTTTAATAGAGTCATAGGAATAGACAGTACTTGTCTTTCTTCTCCAAGATACAAGTGCAATAAAAAATTCCAGCAACCTCAGTGCTGGGGACGACAGAGGACTGCAGTCCGCAGAGGGCACATTTAGTCAGTGCTGGGGACGACAGAGTCGTGAGGACTGCAGTCCACAGAGGGCGCATTTAGTCAGTGATGGGGACGACAGAGTCGTGAGGACTGCGGTCCTCAGAGGGCACATTTAGTCAGTGCTGGGACGACAGAGTCATGAGGACTTTGGTCCGCAGAGGGCACATTTAGTCAGTGCTGGGACGACAGAGTCATGAGGACTGCGGTCCGCAGAGGGCACATTTAGATAGACCTGGCAGCATATTAGGCCCTGTGTTAATGGTTCTCCTAATTTTTAATGAGAAGGAAGAAATCAGATTTTTTTTCTGAAATCTCATGGCTTTATTTTTAATATTAGTCACTAAGGGAAACAACATTTTATAGCCAATGTTCTGAGCACTAAATTAAGCATGACTCACAGGTCTTCTCTTGACAACTCTGTGCAGACAGGACTCTCCACCCCA